ACTGTGCGATAGCCAATCAGCAGCCTTTCTGTTAGAGCAGTGTTTGCGCATACGTTTCTCGTTAGAGAAGCGGGCCCATGTGGTACAGATATCTCGTTAGGCATTTTTACATTTTTTTCAATTATTACTAATTATTTTACAATCCCACCCTTTATTAGTACCTAAACTTTACTCCTGTAAAAGGATTTTGCGATCTATGAAGCCGTTTCAAAGAACGAGCTTTGAGAGATATGTCGTACAGATATGCCTCGTTAGACAAGGACATATATCTCTCGTATTATTCCTTTCTCTCCTATGTATGTAATTTGCATGCACCCATTTATTCCTCTCTCTCTCTTTCTCTCCTTCTCTCTCATCCCTGTCCCTCTCTCTCTCTTTCTCTTACAAGTACACTGGGTAGCTACTCTTAGTATGGTAAAATCAGGATTTTCTGGAAGAGTGGTGTTAGGATTTTAGGGTATATTTGAAGAAAGAAAAACGGTAATGTAATTTAGGACAAGAAACTCTATCTATTATAGTTCATATAATGAGTCTATATGAGTTATATATAAGGCCATTTTGACGCCGACGGCGGCGCGTACGGCGGCGCGTATGGGGGCGCGTATCAAATAATATTATGAGCACGAAAAAATATACACGAAGAATTTATTTTGAGAATCAGAAATATTAAAAAAACGCGACAAAGTTTTTTTCCCTCCGGATGAAATTCCAACGTGCGCTTCTAAGGTCAACGCGCATCCTTTGCTAAACGAATGAATTTATATACACGTTTTGCTGTCAGATTTTTATTGACGTGATACAGACGGGTGTACATCTGAGCCTCAATAAAGCGCGAGTTTAATCGTAAATCAATTATGCGAAAGATCTTAGATCTTATATTCGTCAATAGAGTTATAAAATCCGCAAACAATGCAAAAATTTGCGCATAGTCCCTCGTGATCGGATATAAATGCATCGCGTCGCTTTGCTAATGATTGGATAAACACTTTCTCGAAAACGCAACAAAATATTTGCTCCACGAAATAAGCTCGCACAAATCGCATGTGACAAAACTGAAATTTAGCAATTATATGTAAAATCAAAAGCTATAAATTAGTTTTTTGTTTTGAACAAGAGAAGTTGAGACACGTAGCGATAAAATTGAATGAATTCCCAACACGATAAAGATAAGTTTAATAATTTTCTTCTACGGTTTTCGTTTCCTTTTTAAGAAATAGAGATGTTAAAAAAAATCAATATAAAGTAACATGTAACAAAAGTTTCTCTTGGTGTAAATTTTCAAAAGGAGGAAAGCAAGTTTGAAAGAATAATATGATGAATCAACATTCTCTGAATACATACTAAAAACCATTTAATTTTTTCCCTACGCGTTGTGGAAAACATGACGGCTCCGTGTAATTGTTAATTACCGCGAGACATATGCTAACGAACCGTCGTAAGCAAATTCCTCGAAACGTTCGCTACAAGAGAAAACGAAAACAATTTTGGGACAAGAACGGAAGGGTTCGTTTGATCGTCATCGTCGTCATCGTCTTCGTTTCCGAAAAGATGTACGTACTCCACTAAGTAAGATAAATCATAATTATTCTTGATATCAGCATTCGCGGCATCCTAAAAGTCCCGCTGGATAAACACTAGATACTTGTAGCATCCGAGTTTGATTTAGTCGGGCAACGTGAATAACACAGTTTCACGTTTGCCCGTCTCTGTGAAAAAAAAACGCGACGATTACCTTTTTCCTTTCTTTTCAAGTCCTATGTATACTTGTAAACTTATAAATGTATAAAAACGATTAGACAGTAACAGAATACAATTTCTTTATGATTCTCGAAATAATCTTTTTGGATTTCTAAGCACAAGGAAAGACATCTCTTTTGCTTAAGTATTATTCGACAAATCATGCAATGATACCCTTCATGGAGTGCAGTAACGGCTGTCGCATACTGGCAATGGAAACGAAGACGAGGGCGAATAGAAAACGGATAAAAGATTGAAGCGCACTCGGAAGGGAAATGAAAGCACCGCGAGCTTCCTCTTCTCGACGGTCCTTCGACTTTATTCGCGAGGCAACGATACTTTACGCAAATATCCAGTATTCTGTATACAATCCATAATTAAGCTAATCATCCGTCGACGAAACATATCGCTCGCGAACAGCCACTTCGGCGTAAACTGCACGTTATGCGCGTTCTCGCGTATCTCAATCACTATGACAAGCAAATATATATTTAAAAAAAACATTCTTTTTGAAACAGAAATTGAAATAAAAAAAGACATTTTTTGCGAGGTTGCTATTATATGCTTGAAAAATACATATGATATAAAGGCACAAAATAAAAAAAGTATGCAGAATTATTCTTATTGTTAGTACAAAGTAATCGGAGCATGATCCTGGAGACGTCCCATGTCCGTGATATCGTCATCGTGGACGGGGCCTGGGGCCCACAGAAAAAATAATAAAAATAATATGTATGTGCGTATGCATATGTATGTGCGATTGCGTATGCGTGTGCGTGTGTATGTATATCTATGTTGAATTGCATTACTAGTTTTATGTAATATTATTTACTTTCGACAGTAACAATAAAAAAAATAATATAATATATTTCATTTATATATGTATTTTTTCGTTTATATTTCCCAACATTTTATCAACGAAATAATAAATAGAGTTTCTTGTCCTAAAATAACATTACCGTTTTTTTTTTCTAATATACCCTAGAATCCTAACACCACACTTCTAAAAAATCCTGATTTTACCATACTAAGTGTACGCTACCCAGTGTACTAAGAGAGAGAGGGACAGGGATGGAGAGAGAAAGAGAGAGAGAGAGAGAGAGAGAGAGAGAGAGAGAGAGGAATAAATGGATGCATGCAAATTACATACATAGGAGAGAAAGGAATAATACGAGAGATATCTGTCCTTGTCTAACGAGGCATCTATACGACATATATCTGTCAAAGTTCGTTCTTTGAAATGGTTTTATAGATCGCAAAATTTTTTTACAGAAGTAAAGTATAGGTACTAATGAAGAGTTGTTCTTTCCATGTGCTCCCTAAGTTACATAACAGTTACAAACTGGTTTACTGGGATTATGTTATAATAATTAAGATTTTTATTCAGTTTTGTTATCTATACTGTTCATCAGCTGCCGCTACCCTCTACTCTGATGCTAAGACTGAGGTATATTTTTCTATATAAAGACAGAATAAAATTAGTTATATATAAATCAATACTATAAATTTAATATATATTTATTGCATTTGTTATAAAAGTTATTATTTTACCCCATCAAGAATGGATAGATCCTTTGAAAGAGTTTTACATAATTCATTTACATTACAAGAAAAAAATTATTAGAGGTGCAAGAGATGCAGTAAATTGCCAAGTCTAATAAGTACCCGCGTCAATACATACTATGTATACTAATTCACATTCTCAATTATGCTACTGTTATTATTTGTCATCAGACAATTATAAACATACACATAATAATTAGATACATATTATATATATATATATACGCACATGTGTGCATAAAAATATATATAATTTATAAAAAGCGGGTGCTTATCAGCCTTGATACGTTACTGCCTTCTGCTACAGACGGCCAGAAAGCATTTTCAGGTTCAGGCCGTATTGCTAAAGAATCCAAGACGCGGCAACGCCGCGCGGCGTTGCCGCGTCTATAGCATATGTCTCTCTACCGTGCGTCCGTGTGAGCAATTCAGTGGTGTGTGTACGTGTACGGACATACACCACTTCATAGAATCTGAAATAAGTTGGTAACACTGAAACCGGAGTTTCGCGTTGTCACCACGCGAGGTCTCCAATATCAGTTCGGCCTTTGCTTTAGTTGACAGAGTTGACATTACCGACGTCGAGGAAGTTCGGCCTTAGCTTTAGCATCCCCTTAAGACTGCCATATTTGTGAGGATTTGAAAGTAACAAGTGATTTGAACGTAATACATTAATTTTTAATTTTGACATTTTGTTTAGTATTTTCAATTATTATTTTTTTTATTAGTATATAACTGTTGGAGTAAATTTTGTTTGTGGAGCCTCACGCGCCCGTGGAAAAATCGCCCCTGAAACGCATTGAATCCGCCGAGAACATTATTGGCGCTATGAGCGCTACGTTCAGATCAAACGTCATTTACGTAGTTTTATCCGTCTTCATTCGCTAGGTATATACAGGGTGTTTCTTAACACGTGACAAGCGATTATCTGCTTTACCAGGAACTGTTTAAAATAATTATTAACTCTTGAACGCATTTCCAAATATAGCTCACGTATCGCAAGTTGCTCGTACTTCGTGTCTTGACTCGAAATCTCTCGAACAAAAACAGAAAATTTTGAAAGTTCGGAGCTTACAAATTAATGAGCTTTACGTACATTTTTCTATCATTTCTATCTAATTAATATTTTAAATGTTTTTCGTCCAAAATGTTTTACTTAATAACGACGTTTAGTTTTCCCACTGATTATTTTTATCAGATTTATCGTTCGGTGATAAACGAAATAATATTATAACGTTATTTTTTACTTATAACGCTTTATTTATTTCACTTGTTTTTTTTTTTTTTTTAGGAGAAAACATTCTTTGTGCATTCTTATATATTTCTCTCTCGCGTCTTGCCTAGTAAAGTTATATTCTCTTTCGGAAATCCCTGCAAGTTTGAGCAATATTGTTCAACAATATTTCAGCATAAATAAATCTAGGCATAAAAAAAGTATAAATTTAAAGGTACAAACTTAGTATTAATTTTTTTAAATATTTCCTTTTATATCTTCACACCAGAGATATCATCTTTGATATAATAATGTAATAAGTAGCAAAATAAAATTTTGCGGCGCAACTTAGGACTTCCGAATTAGACACAATATTCGGTCTCGTTTCAAAAGTCGAGTGTACCTCATGTATATATTTTTGACAACGTACGCGAGAAGTGGAGAGGGGAGAGATGTCGGTAATGATGTTTATTAAGTTTTACCATAACTACGTGGTGGTCGAACGGTCGTTTCCTTTTTCGCTTTGAAACCTAAAGTCCAAGTGCGGGACCGAGAGAGAGAGAGAGAGAGAGAAAGAGAGAGAGCTTTTTATATCACTACACACGTATTACATACATTTCTGCGTAACAGTGACGTCAGTGTCTTTCAACGCGTAAGGAACATATACCGGGTGTTGAGCCACGAGGCTCGCAGCACTCTCGTCAACCTCGTCGAAATTCGCGTTCCGGGGTCAAAGAAAACACGGGCTAATGCGACCGATTCATTGCAGTTCCCCGTAGGCAGAATTCACAGGCATTTGAAAAATAGAACCACGAGTCATGGTCGGGTAGGCGCTACTGCGGCGGTGTACAGCGCGGCCATTTTGGAATACCTTACGGCCGAGGTAAGTGAACATATATGTGTATGTGTGAGAGGGAGAGAGAGAGCGAGCGCGAGCGAAAGAGAGAATACGAGAGATTGTAACTGATATTGTAACCGAGACCGAAATCGCGACTCCGCTAAGTTCGGAGTAATACCTCGCAAGATCGAGAATTTCATGCAAACAATAATTCGACAATTGTCGAATGTTGTCAGAATATTTAAGACGAAAGGAGATTTATAAATATCTATAATTATCTATAGATAGATAAGAATGATTCAAGCTAAAAATACGTAGAAAGAATAGTAAATATTACAAATGATAACGACGAAATAGACGAGATCATTTGTGAGGATAGGATCGAAGTTAATTAAGGGAAACATTAATGTATCGCAATGCTTTTCTCATTGTTAATACTTAGTGCGTTTGTAAAGAATCATCAGGAAACGTCGTTAATCTTTAATCGTTGAATTATAATTTAACTATAATTTAACTATCATCATACTTACAATTAAAAACGATACAATTTGACATAAATTTAGACTGACAGCACGTTTACATTGCATGAGCGCCGTTAGGTGGACAAGAGGGACGAGTGCCTCCCAATAGATGCAAATACCTATATAATAATTTCGAATAAATTAAAATAATGTTTACACGTATAACCTGAAAACCCTAATAAGTTGAACTTTAAACTGTACTCTTTTTATTTCTCATTTATGTTGTTTCTTTTTTTTTTTTTTAGTTTCTAAAGCTTTCTCTCAAGTTTATAGCTAACGGCGCCAGTGTACATTGCTTACAATGTAAATACATAATTAAATAATTAAATATTGATATCAAATAATGTTCTCATCAATGCAAACTCAGGAAGAGGAACACAAAGAAAGAGCGGACATCGAATAGAGGTGGAGAGAGGAAGAAAGAATTAAAATACAGGCAGAGAACAGTCATTATAATCCCGGCGAATACGATAGCGTCTCAGTTTCTAAAAACCTGGTTGTCTTTCCCGCTTTTATTTTTGAATTTTAAATGCGTTTTAAATTGATTAAATATATTAAAGACGATATACAGGGTGATCCATTTTAAGTGCCCATCTCAAATATTTCTTGAACAATACATTTTAAAGAAAAATTAAAAATGGGTCACCCTGTATATTTATTGAAATTAAAATAGCAAGAAATTCCTCAATTGACGAATAATCACTTTTATATAGCTTATTACTTCCGTTATTTGTGTAATTATGAAATTATTACCGATGTACTTTATTGTGTTTCAAATGGTTCATTAAACGATTGTGCTCTCTTTTTGCTCAGGTATTGGAGTTGGCGGGAAATGCATCGAAGGATCTGAAAGTCAAACGTATTACACCTAGACATTTGCAACTCGCTATACGTGGTGACGAAGAATTAGATAGTCTCATTAAGGCAACAATTGCAGGAGGAGGTACGTTTCTTTTCATAAATTTTTTATAACTTGTATAATTATACATCATTATTACAATTTATAATTAATATAATTATACATCAATAATTGCAATAATAATCAATAAATGCAATTAATATAATTATACATCATTAGTACAATTTAATCATTCTAAACAGTTTATAATGTTGAAAATTATCATTTTTTTGGAATGAATTTTGTACGTAGCAGTATATTCAGAGTTTCTGTACATAGAGTTTATCGCTAATGTGATATTTTCTTTTTGTACAACTTATACCAATGAGAATACGAGAAAGAAATTATACATATATGTCATTGTTTGATTGCAGGTGTTATTCCACATATCCACAAATCACTTATCGGCAAGAAGGGTTCGCAGAAGCCAGCATAATTTAGCGATAATTGACATTGAACATTTCAAGATTCGTGGGCAAACGGGAGGAGGAGTTGGTCCAGTGCTTGTTGCAACAAAGTGTACCTAGGTTACTAAATCGATGGCGAGACTGGCGTGATATATACATAGATATATATATATATATATAGATAATAAATAAAACAGTATATTGAGATATAATTTAATATAGATAAAGAAAATGAGAGTTAAAGAAAAGACAAATGTTCATTGACAATTGACAAACGGACAAGACAGGGAGAGAGAAAGAGAGAGGATTCTAGGCCGAGTGTAGGAAATTTTTTGTGTGTGTTGCGAGCGATGCGTTGTAGCATGGCTCGAGATGATGGCAGTCTTTGGTACAGTTTGCAATTTTTGAACATTGCAGTAACATCAGAGGACGTGTGAAAGCCTGTTTAATTACCACGTTTAATTATTTACCATTATGAACGAAACTCGATTACTTTATCAAACCGCCATCGTTAATTTTATCTCATTTTCGCCTTTGACTCGCGTCATGTGCCACTGAAGGAGGTTTTTTGCTCCCAAGTAGTAACTCTCATTTCACAATCTCGCACACATGAATACACATGAATTGTGCAGTTCAGTTAATTATTTCAGATGAATTTTAGTGTGTTTAGATTTATTACATATATACAATTATGTCAGTGGAATTATAATACATGGATTATAAATAGTAAAGTTTTACGTCGAATTCATCACGACAAAAGAGAAGGAGAAGAAATAGCGGACATTTATACGCATAATTTCCAATATAATTTTGGAATCAAATAACTCCACTTGGCCAAATTCGTATAAAAATACATACTAAAATTTTGATCTGCTACTTAGATATTAAATCGTCTCTCGTTGCACGTTCACCAGTTTACAAGTTTCTTGCGCTTTCCTCCTGTTAGAATCACGATGATTTATTACATAGGGTTCCGATAATAAATAGCAACGATTTCAAAGTTTGAAAGTTTAACTTTGTGACTCGATTGTACATAGTGTTTTTTAATTGCATACATAAAACTCGTGTAACATATACGTGAATATTGAGTTTTGTGAGCTTCTGAAATTAAATGAGCCTTTTATTTCAAGAACCAGATTGTGGAATGTTCAGTTTTATTAAGAAAATTTTCTAGATATTGCGATCTTAATAATAACGAAGGCTGAATTCGTTTCTTGTAGAATAATCTGAAATGATGTAGTAACGATTCGACCGAATAATCCGAAGATTTATTTGCACATGTAAGAACGTGCCGATTTTCATTTCCGCTCTAAATATTTTTCTTTCTTATTTTAATAATATTTGTCAGTTAGTTAATCCTACGATTTAGCATAATTTTTATTGTACGTACACGGTTTCGCACCATATGTAAAACGTTCATTTTCATAATAAAAGATAAATTTTATTAAACTCTGCACATATATATACACAAATCATAAATTACTATGATACTTTATACAAGATCTTTAATTAGAAAAAAATTTGTATTCTATTCTTTAGGAAAGGAAGCTATACTTATATTTTCACAAGCAATATTAAATCGTTGAAAGACCGAACTCGTCAAAAGAAAAAAAAGATTGCATGCTTTTTTTATCGCGAGTATTTATACACCTATCTCAAAATAAAAAAATAATGGAGAGAGATAAAGTAGGTGATTCTTTTGTGTGGGATATGTACATCGAGTTTATAAATAAGCTTCGATTTCACTCCGTCATGATGGCATCAGGTATTGTCCGAATATCGAAATTATGTAGGTGCATACTTAGATGCCTGCGTTGCGGAGTAACAACGATGGCCCTGAATCCTGTGCAAGCTTGGCGCGCGGCGCGCCCGTGCGGTGGCGCCGTCTGGCGAGCGACGCGCGAAGCTAACACACTCCCCCCCCCCCGGCGACTGTCGTCGAGCTGGTCGCCGGGCGTGATAGCTGCGGGAGGCCAGAGGGGAAGGAGTGCCCGCGCCATTGGCGAGCGCGAGCGAAACGGAGCGAGGGTTTTCGGAGCTGCCCCCCACTCCCGCGACGGTGCGGCGCTTGGAGTAGTGAAGTCGCAGTCGCCTTTCACGGGTACGGTCGGGTTGGTCGGTCGGTCGTTCGTTCGGTCGGTCGGTCGCCCGAGCGGGGCTTGGAGCAGCGTACACACGCTCGCGATCGTGCTTGTCGTCGGGGTCGCTCCGGGAATTACGCCGTCGTCGCACCGGGGAGTAGCAAGTCCTTCGGTAAGGGCCGGCTGCGACACGCGCGACACACGCGCGCACGCACACGCGCGCAGGCAGACGCGTACCTTCGCTGCCCCCGCGATCCGGGCGCGCACTCGGCTCGCGGTGACAGGTCGCGTGGGATAGGAGCGAGAGTGTGTATCTCCCGGCAGGACGCGTGTCCTTCCATATTTCATAGAGAGAGATCGAGAAAGGTGCGTGCGTGCGCGCGCGCGCGTGCGTCTTGTTGCTACTTGTTTTAAAAACGCGCACCGCCCTGAAGGTTGCCGCGTCCATCCTATCTACCTTGCTGTCGCGTGAAGTTGACGCCGGCACGCACGTCGTCATCTGCATCTGAATTGAATGCGCGCGCGAGTTCGTGATCGGTTTTCCTGCCGGCGATTCTCTCCTGCTCGCGATCAGTGCCAGCCTGCCAGCCGCGTGCGGAATTCGCATCCGAGAGTTCAAGGAAAGAGCGCGACGCCGTCTCTCCTTTCCTTTCCCGCTCGCTTCGCTCGACGTCGCGTCATTCCGTGTTGTTTCGGACAGGGCGAACAAAATCATCCACTGGGGAGCCGGTCTTCGTTTGCGTGACGTTATTCAGGTGATTCGTTCGCTTGAAGGCGCGTTGTAACAATTTTCGAATAGTCCTTACATCAGGTAATTCTTTTCGTTTCCCCATGCTTACATTGAGGATGCACAAATATCGATGTGGACGCTTGATGCTTGAGATTGATGAACGTGAAAAGCTGAAAAATTTAATTCAAATTGTACCTATTACATATTTTTATATTATATAATTAATATCTAATTGATTTTATAATTGTTCAATATCTCTCTAACATCGTGAATTATTTTTTAATCTGCGACGAAGACATTCGTCGGAAAGTAAATGAGAGAGAAATATAGTTTGGGGTATTATTTGACAGTAAGGGCAGTTATTTCTGATACATTGTCGTTTTCAACTTAATTTTTTAAATCTAACAGTGTAAATGTTAAAAGAATTCTTTTGTTGACTACGTTACGACGTAATCATTTATTATAACAATTGGAAAGGACATTAAACAACATTTATTGAATTTAGCGAACGCGAAAAGTTGCAGAATGTCGATGAAGCTCTTTCTCTTTATCGGATTCGATCGATAAATATTTTACGCTACGTCGTGGCGAAATCTGCTTTTCGTCGTATCAAACGATATTCATTTTCATACTTTCCCGAAAGTAACTTGGGGGGGTAATATTTGATATTCGTTATTTTAGTTACTAAAGTTACTTTGATGTCTAACGAATCAGTTTATCCGTGTAGTCGATTAAATTCCAACCAATTACGCCTACAAACTCGAATGATTAATTATTAATTACTCCGAGCCGGTAAAGATTAACGAACGCGTATGCGTGCAATTATGGTCGCGTCCGGGCAAATGGAGGGTAGGTAATTGCAAACGCCTACCTTCGCAAGTAACGAAGTTGAGTAAATCAAAGTACACCGAGTCTTCGCTTAACTGACTCGATCTTTTACGAATGTAATCGAAAGCGAGGAACTCGATCAAAGCGTAATTTCTTCGGTTCCTTAATCGAGCGCCGCATCACCTTCGGGCGCGTGTCTATAACATATACAAATTGCGCTTATTTCATCTAGAGACACGGTTGGAGAAACAGACAAACGAATTGATAGATATTTTACACGGAGAAAGCAAGAAAGAAGGCGAAAGAAGGAGAAAGACGCGAGACGCGACGTCGCGTTTGCGAGGCGAGCGAGTTTGGATTTAAATTCCGTGAACTTCGCGCGCGCGCGCGGCCGCGGCTAACTTCCGACCGCTCGAACGAGATTCGTCGCGCTCGGACATCGCGGAGTCGCGACGTGACGCTCGGAATAAAATTGGGGTTTCGCGTGCGAAACGGCGGGCACGTTTCGTCTCGTCCCGCTCGAACGGAGCCCGCTCGAGAGAGAAACGTCTCTTCTTCTGCTTCTTCGAAGGCTGGTGTGCGCGTCGCCGTCGCCGTCGCCGCGCCGCACGGGCACCTGGCATGGAGTAATCTGCTCGACGCCGTGAGTCTTCCCACGCAGCACGACCGGCCTAGGATTCTTCGAGGATGACGGGCAGACACGCGGAACGAGCCGTCGCCGCTCGGTGAGTCCCTTCGTCTTTTCGCGTATTATATATAGCGGCCGCGTTTTACATGCGATGCACGCTGAACGTGACCCGAAACCGTGTGGTCTATCCGTTTTAGCCGCGCGCCCTTACATTTTTTGCATTAGAATTAGAAAAGCCGGGTTTGGTTCTTTAGAGTGAAAGAGAATAGTGGGAAAAGCAACCCAAACGGATCTACAGAGAGATGTAGATAGAGGATACGAAGGGAATGTGAAAGAAAAAAAGGGGGCGAGGTAGCTAAACTATTAATTTCAAATTTGCTTCCTCTTTCACTTTTGTGATTACCTTGGTATGAAAGAAAATACGTTTGCATGCTCGATCAATGCAATTACACTCTATAACATCATGATAATGATAATAGGTGTAAGAAATCGTTCCTTCTTCTTTCTCGAAAAAGTGTCTGAATTAGCATTTTGCTTAAAATATCTCAAAATTATATACTTTTTTATAGATTCAAATATCATTTTGAGAATATACCTTTTCCGCGTTTTTGTGTACAAAACTGAGCTAAAATAGAATGACTTATAAAGGCGGATATTTTTGGCGGATATAAATTACAGATTTATTTTAAGTCGTAAAATGTAGTATTGAATTTTAAGTCATAAAATATAGTATCGAAAGCTTCTATAGTATCAAAGTATTGAAATTAATAGCTTGCGAATTATTAACCGTTGAAAATGGAGTTTTTCTTTCAGTGAGCTATATTTTACAGATTTAAATAGATAAAGATTTTTCCTTTATTTAGTTTCATCAAATGGATTTTGCTTTATTAAATAGAGATTTCAGTTTGACATTAGTTCTAAAAATGTTTAATAATGAAAAATTAAATGAATAATGACTTCTCGATTCTCGGAATTGAGGAAATTTATGTCAAACTTGTCGGATATTCTACTAATAATAAGTTTAATTTCGCTGTAGAGAAGCGGCTACATATTAAAATTTTTAGATATCTTTCTAGTCTCTCAAATGCAGTGGGTTTTGCACTGAACCGTGCTATTTACATCCGTGTTAATTAATCTTTCTCATTGTGTGCCACCGGTTTCCGATTCGTATAACCTACATATTAATATTTATATACCATTTAATTTTGTGAACTGAAAAAAGAGGAAACATCCAACTGTAAAATATTGCATATATGTATAAATGAATTTCACCGACACAAAGCTGAGCTACATGAAAAAAAAAAAAAAATACAATTTCCCCATTCGAGTGTTCCCATACGTAAAATAATAAATAATTGATATACATTCGAATAACCTTTAAGCGTTAACAATGATTGTTAAATAATATCTGGAATGTTACTAGCGCGAATATCATAAATCCGATATCCTATTTTAGTTTTAACGATATAAATTTTTTTACGAGCAGCATAATATAATTATAGCGTAACGCCGTACATTTTATAATTATTTTTATCCGTAATGGCTCGTTTTATCGGAATTTTTTTTCCATCGCCAGTTTTATCACTGGCAAATTCAAAAGATCTCGCTGCTGTGATATTACGCGTGCAATTTTCCTTTTTGCGGCGCCGCGGCCGAGTCTTATCCAAACTAAAACCGTGCAGTCTAATCTTGCGAAAGACCATCTTTTGAAAATGCGCACCACTCGACAGAATCCTATTTACACAGGCACACCACGGGGCGCTGTAATATCGTTAATGCAAACTTTCGCCGGTCACGAACGCCTTACTCAATTCGGGCTTGTTTTCGCGCGCACGCGGATGTAACACTTCGCTGGGAGCAATTACGGGAACTCGCGGTCTAAGTTCGCCTCGCGAGCAGTCGCGATAATGAACCGAGATCGCCGTGCGGTCTCCCGGTGCAACACCGTGTATATGTTGCCGTTTGGAGAGCATCGTGCGCGTTAACCCTTGAAATAATATAACGAGAAGCGGTATAAGGTATCCTCGTTCTCATAATTACTGCTTCGTTCTTCGCCGTGTCTAATGATTTGCATAATTGTTCCAATTTACGTCGGTTTTGTAAAAGTTTCCACGATATATCGCTAAAAAAGCAGCAAGATTTTTCACGGTGCTTATACAGGTACAAGACGAGCGTTATTAAA